GGCCCACCAGGGGAACACTGGGGCATAGCAAGGATGGCTGATGTGCCCATCAGCACAGGCCCACTCAGTGGAGACTGGTCAGGAAAATAGAACTGCAGGGGGTGCAGTTTGCTGAAAAGATTCAGGCCCAGACCAGAGTTTCCACACAACCCAGGTGTATCAGACTTCACAAGACCAGGAAGTACATACAAGGCCAACCATTAAAACCTGAGTTGCACAAAAAGCCTTCCCCAGAGAATCAGCAGCAAAGAAGCAATTTAGCTCAACAACAGGGCTTAAGTAATGGTCCCCACAGGAAGGTCCCGCATTTTAGAAGTAAGCAAAGGACAACAAATTAGTTCCAGTGCAGTTTAAGTAGTGGGAACAGCAAATAATCCAACACAGAACTGAAAGAAAAACAAAATGCTCACAGATCAGAGACAAACTTTGATATTAACTGGTATAGGTCTAACGCCACCAAAGAACACCTAGAAATCCTAGAAGGACTGGAAGCCCCTTGGGCTCCAAGCCAGGGAAAGGGGAGGGCCAAGGACCTCAGCCATGCCACCTGACGTCCGCATTCAGCCCAACCATGACTGAGCTGCTGCTGGAAGCCCCCTGGGCTCCCTCCCCTGCTGGAATAAGGGGCGTGCCACAGGCCTCAACCATGTCCCCCCTCCACCTGCCTTATCCCGCTCCCCTTTTCCCACTCATCCTCCCCCACAACTGCTCCACAACAACATCTTAGAATGTAATAATAATGATGATGAAATAAATTAAAAACAAAAAAACCGAATACAAACCCCACGGCCTAATGACTCCACTGCTGGACACCACATCCTAGGCAGCCTCCAACTGTGGGCCAAATCAGTTCAGTGGGCTGTGACCAGTGTTCTTCTACAGATTGAAATAGAAGAGACTAGAATAAGTAAATGTCAGTGCAGTGATGGACTAGTTTGTGTGCATGCCATGAGGTGTCCCAGGGATCAGCAGACTTGTCCTATAAAAGGCACGGTGGCGAAGGGCCTCAGCTCAAGGGACCACAGTGCCTGCTCTGCTGCCACAGCAAGGGACCCACGTGCCAGTGGGGCTTGAGTGTGTGGGCCACACCAGGCCTGCTAGATCAAGTGTCGGCAGGGACATGGAGTGGCTGGACTGTTGCACACTCCTGGGAAAGCAAAGTGCACACTCACTTTGGGAAGCTGTGAAGCAGCCTCTTCCCATGGGGTGCCTGTGACCCCAGCAGCCCCCACAGGGAGGTGCCCAAGAGGGCTTCCTGCCAGGTCCTGGTTCACAAGGGAGGCCAAGTGACCACAGGAGAGGCTAAAGCCTGGAAAGAAGACTTTTATCACCTCTCTCGAGAACAGGGGCTCATCACGCCAGGCAGGGCCACATGGCAGCACCAGGGCCAGGCAGGGGCTGAGAGGGGTGTAGGAGGCCCTGGCCAGAGCCGCCACGGGGTTCCCTGGGAGGCTGAGTAGCAGCTACGGCTGCCTTGCATGAATAGTTGTGCAGGTATCGTGCCATGAAGGGGTCTGCAGCAGCTGGCACCTGGCCGGGGCTGGCCTGGGGCAGGAAATTCTGGCTGGGTGAGTGGGAGTCTGATGGGTGGATGGTGAGCACAGCCTGGGTCGGCTGGTCTGCCCGGCTTTCCACCCCGGATGTGAGCTGACCCTGGGAGGGGAAGTCTCAGGTCTACAAGGTGCCCCCAAAACATCACATACAGGAAATAAAGAACATGGTTCATACAACGAGAAACAAGAACATGTCCACACACAGACGTACACGCACACTCTCAGCCCCTGACTCAGACAACCAGAAACTGGATATGAATTTTTCAGGTGACCAGTGAACAGACCATGTTTTACTTTATTCAGAGAACACTGCCCAGGAACCAAAAACAGACAACAGCATGAACTTCAAGGACACGCAATGCCATGAAAGGGCCTCAGCACACTGCTCAGCGCCAGAGCCAGGGCCTAAGGCTCCCGCCGCACGAAGCTTGAGAGTTGCAGGGCCACTGCCAGTGGGGAGAGGGACAGACAGGAGGGGCTGCAGGGGCTCGGGGGATGCACCCTACTCAGCGAGTGGAGTCTCCATCAGTGGTGTCACCCTACACGGTGAGGGGGGTCTGCATTAGCAGTAGCCCCAGTTCTCACAACTCACCGATCCAAAGACTTAACGCCATGCATTTTGCCATATGTAAGTTTTACATCAATTTTTAAAAACAGCACTGGAGACAAACATAACCAAATTGTTGTGGTGGTTAATTTGGTGTGGTGGGAATATGGGTGCTCTATCTTCTTTTTATGAATTCTGACTTTTTTTTTAGCCCCCCAAAATAAAACAATAAAAAACCAAGGGAAAGGAGGCTTTATCCAGCCAAGCAACAGGAGGGGCCCTGGCAGGAGTGCGCCAGCTATTCCACAGTCTCCTGACCCAGAAAAGAACATCCACAGCTGGGCCCAGCACCCAGGGCCTCTCCGGCAGCTGCCCACACATCTGGCAGCTGGATCCACTTACACAACACAGATTGAGGTACTTAAATCTGCGACCTGCGGCCGACTCCTTCCTCCAAGGCCTGGAGTCCCTTGCCCAGTCCCATGGTCCTGGGGTGAACTCACCCACCTGGGGACTCTCCCACATTGTGAGTGCTCTGGCCAAGCGTTAAAGGGCTGATGCCCAGACAGCCCCTGGGAGCCCCCTGCAAGTCAAAGCCCAGCAATGGGGTCCTAAATGCCCTGGGGATACCAGAGGGTACTGGGGGATCCCTAGGATTTGGCACTTATGTCTCTGCATCCCACTTCTGGGCACAAGCACCTCCCAGGGCCTCCGACTCAGGGCCCCTCCCCAGGCACCCCAGGAACAGCTGGCCAACAGCTTTGTGACCAGAGGCCTCCTGTAGGTGGGCGGGTGCAGGCTATGCAGGCCAAGCCTCCATCCATGTCACTGTCCAGCTGGGAACCATGCACAGAATCATTTCCTGAGCACACGACGCATGTCGGCTCCAAAGCTCACTAAATTATTCATTCAATTCTCTCGAGCAACTCATGATCCAGGCCCAGCCCCATGGTGAGACCTTGGCACCAGGACAGAGGGACAGAACACAGCCTCTCCCTCCAAGCCCACCCTGGCTGGATGGGGGTCTGTGCATAGGCAGGATGTGGACCAGTCAGTAACTAGCCACCTGGGCCACCTTCCTCCCACCGGGATGTTGTGTCAGGGGACAGTGGCCACAGAGTCCTTGCCTCTTCCTTCTGGGCACTTGGAATCATGGGGAGGCGGGGGCAGCACATGCCCACTCCACTGGGGAAGTGTGTCCCCAGGAAGGTCAATGAAGACCAAAGTTGTGGACAGCAGAGTGCCCAGCTGCCGTTTCTGCAATTTCCAAGTCAGCAGGGTCCCTGTGTGGGTGAACTTACCAGAGATGAGACCCAGCACTGGAAGACTCAGAAGCAAGACTGGGTTTATTCAGATCCATTGTCAGTTACAAGATGGGTTTGATTTTTGGTCACAGGCCCAAAAATGCCATTATTCTGAGTTTACATCAACTATAAAGCCCAACGTTTACAATTTGAAAACTGTTAAAAAAAAAAAAAAGAACAAAAAACCACACACACCAAAAACAAAGGCTTAGTTTAAAAATCACTGCTGAGGGCTGGCCCAGTGGCACACCCGGTAGAGTGCGGCGCTTGGGAGTATGGCGGCGCTCCGCCAAGGGTTCGGATCCCATATAGAGACCGGTCCGCTCACTGGTTGAGCGCGGTGCGGGCGTGACACCGAGGGTTGCGATCCCATTGCTGGTCGTGGTACGGGCGCAACACCGAAGGTTGCGATCCCGTTACCGGTCACGAAAAAAGACGAAAAAATAAAAATAAAAATAAAAATAAATAAATAAATAAAAATCACTGCTGACATGCTGGTCTCACCGGTGCATCACCTGTAGGATGAATGAAGGTGTGAGACTCTGTGGTGATATATATATATATTTTTAAAAATAAAAATAAATAAATAAATAAAAATCACTGCTGAGATGCTGGTCTCACTGGTGCATCACCTGTAGGATGAATGAAGGTGTGAGACTCTGTGGTGATATATATATATATTTTTTAAAGATGACCGGTAAGGGGATCTTAACCCTTGGCTTGATGTTGTCAGCACCACGCTCTCCCAACTGAGCTAATTGGCCATCCCTGTATAGGGATCCGAACCAATGGCCTTGGTGTTTATCAGCACTGCACTCTCCCGAGTGAGCCACGGGCCGGCGCTTGTGATTTGTTTTTGATAGTGAACACATAACTGGTGTACATTTTGAATACGTCAATATTATCAAAAGGTTCCTGTGTCTTGAGCACTTGATTTTATTGAAGATACAAACAATGCTTTGACCATCTTTGGTTGTAGCCCAAAAGCCAGTAGGACCTGATTCCATCGACCGTGTGTGGCCCCCATGCCTACCAAAGGCCAGCATCCAACCATGACAGGGCACAGTGGGGCGCGACACTGGGCTGCTGCTCCTGCTCAATGGCTCAGGGATCAGGGGCGAAGCACTGTCCTGTCAAGTTCCTGTGCGCTCAGAGAGTCTTCATCTCTTCAGAAGTGGAATTCTATGGCCCAGCCTTGGAACAGCTGGGAGAACAGGAAGGAGAATGACTATGCTTTGCCAAATGTGGTGGCAAAATGTAGCTTTAAAGTGAGAGATCAGAGGAGGTCTACTATCTAGTTTTCTCAGGAATCTCTTAGAAACTTTGATTCTTCGCTGGAGTGGAGGCAGAGCAGCTTTCCTGGAATCACCCAGGCAGAGGAGATGTCACAACCTGCCCTGCTCAAGGACAGCCAAAGGGGAGAGGCCAAGGCTGAGGATGGCCCTCCAGGGAGAATAAGACCCAGAGCTGGCCATCAGCACACTAGCTGTTCAGCTTTACACGGCAAAATCCTAAAACAGTTACTGAAAAAGAAAGGCCTTGATAGCAGAGGAAGGGCAGGGCTGGCGGCTGGGCTCGGTTGTCACGCCACCAGGACTGCTCTCCCTTCTCATTTCAGTTTCTTCCAGATGACTCCACTGTTGTGGGAAAACACCCCCTAGAAGGCCCAAGATGAACAGGCTCTGGCTTGGAAGAGGCCTCCCTTGGCCTCTCAGGCCCAAGGGAGGGGCCTGTGGCAAATGCACCCTGTCTGCTCTGGAGACATCGGCTGACCCCGTCAGGGCTGGTGCAGCTTCCCCCGCTCGGTCAGCAGCGTCATGGCCATGGCATAGAGGAGGTATCCCAGGAGGAGGAGCAAAGCACAGGGCAGGGGCCCGACACAGAACAGAGAGGCCACAAAGAAGGCCAGCAGGAGCGAGAGCAGCGTCTGGTAGTTGCCCAGGAAGCGCAGGCTGAGCCTGGGGCCCCGAGCTTGGCTGGCCACCTGCCTCCGCCCCACGGGACTCAGCAGGTGCCTGTTGGCCAGTGCAGGTTCAGTGAGGTGGTAGCGACAAAAGCTGCCGAGGAAGTCATGCCGGGAGCACAGAGCCACCATCTGACCTGCAAACTGAAGCACAAAGGCACAGATGGGAGTGGGGACAGCAGGCAGCACAGGCCTTGGGACAGCAGAACGCCCACCTTCACAGGCCACCCAGGGACTCAGGGGAAAGCTCTCCCTCACAGACCACTCTCCACCCAGACTCTCCCAGGTTTGCAGGACTGAATGGGAGTGCTGAGGTGAGGGTGCTGCCTGGGGCCATTTCCAGAAGAGGCCAGGCCCACCCTCCTGTTCACTCACTCTGCGGTTGATGGCGGATGACAGCCAGAATAGTGCTCGGACCAGGCTGGCAATCTCGTAGCTCCGGATGGGCTGCAGCTCCGAGTCCCCTTGGTACTCAATTTCAAACCTTCGCAGCCCGTTGATGATCTAGAAACCCAGGCCATGCAGGCAGTTCAGAAAATACATCTTTGCCAACAACTCAAAGGAGCAGTCCCTGCTTGGGGGGTAAGGGGTCACACACAGGTCAGGGGCCCTGTCGGATGCCCTCCAAGACTTGGCCTCTTACCTGGTACCGGCCCAGGGGCGTGAGGATGAGCCCATCCTCCCCCACGATGCAGTCAGGGAGCTGCTTCTTCCCGTTCTCATCCTGAGTGGCCCCCAGGGCCAGTGTGAGCTGGGTGAGCTGGGCTTCGCTGAGCTGTCAGAGAGAAACACTTCGGCTTTCCATCTCAACATGAACGGAGGGGCTGCTCTTCACCCCACTGGCCTCCAACAGTAACAACAAAAGGACCCAGACGTGGCCTTCTGGTTGTGGGCTTGCCTCCCAAAAGACAAGCCCAAGGGTCCCCTGCAGCAGAAGCCAGGCCAGGGTCATGTGTGCAAGGCCTGTGACTGGTGCGTGGCTAACCATGGGTAAGGCAGGGAGGTGAGGCAGGAGGGGGCCCCCAGGAAAGGGCAAGCCCACAGCTCATACTCGGAATATCTGGCGCAGGTACTCTAGGGCCTTCTCCAGGTACTCATCTGTCTTCCGGACGCTGTCCTGCCCCATCTCGTCTAGGTCATTAGCTGTGTAGGAGCTGTTTGCATCCACAGGGCAGAAGCCCAGCCATGACAAAAAGGAGCGACTGGCCGGGCTATCCACACACTGGTCAGAGATGGACTTGGCCGTCTGCTTGGCCTGCGTGATAAGCTGAGCGAGGCGTAAGACCTGCGAGGGGCACAGGCAAGTGGACCAGCTCAGGGGCCACCTCCTGGCACCCAGGCACCAACAGCATGGATGGTGGGTGCCACTATCCAGGCAGGGGGCGCACACCCAGATGAGCTAACAACCCTGAGGGGCAGCTTCTGTGAGGACTTTTAAAGACTAATGGAGGATCTTCTAAATGTGAAAAGTTTCCAGACAAACACTACCTTTGTTATCAGAAAAAAATTAGAATTGACTGAAAAAAAGGAGGTGGGGGGAAGATACGGCAGCGCCTATCAACACCCAACCTTCTTTTCTTTCTGAAGCGTGTGTGCCCTCCCTGGCTCTGTGGCTTGCCCCAGCTTCAGGGACCCTGTGGCTGGGCAGCGCCTCTGACCCACTCACCAGAGTCCGGATTTCAGGCCCGAACATTGGGGTGTACTTGCAGTCCTGGCCCTCCAGGCTGTAGACATGACTCTTCACCTTGAACGAGGCATCAGTGACAGCTGGCGGCCATGGCGACAGGAAGCTGCTAGTGAACGTGGGAGCTGTGAAGAGCCGATGCTGGCGGTGAGGGATGACGAGCTCTGGCTCCAGGAACAGCTGCTCACCTGGCAGGCAGAAGACAAGCCTGGTTCCCACCTCCTGGGAGCCATGACCGTGGTAAGCGCTCCCGAGGAACAGCCTAAGAGGTGTCTTGTGTGGTAGGTGGCCGATAGCTGCCAGTGCTCACAGAAGGCAAACACCAGGAGGGAGCAACGGAAGCCAACACCCAGAGCGCTCCCGAGGAACAGCCTAAGAGGTGTCTTGTGTGGTAGGTGGCTGATAGCTGCCAGTGCTCACAGAAGGCAAACACCAGGAGGGAGCAACGGAAGCCAACACCCAGCAAACATGAAAGGGACCAAGAAGATCGCCTCCTGAGTCCCCAGGGAGAGAGAGCAGCTCTACAGGGGCTGCAGCTCCAGGCTTTGCAGCCACCCCCAGCGTTCTGCTTTCACAGGGAAAGAAGGCTCAGCCAGTCTGAAAGGCTTCACCGTGCTGATATGCACCAGGAGTCCCCAAAGCAACCTTTGCTGAGGCCCCCTGAGAGCCCATGAGGCACACTTGGCTCCATGGGTCCTTCTCTAAGCACTGCTTCCTGCCAGCTAAGGGCCTGGCTCTAATGGCTCCAATTCAGCGTCAGGGCAGGGCCTACCTGGCTGGACCAGGGCTTGGGACTTACCTTTCTGGATCATTTCGGCCAGATTGGGCTGGGCAAAGACTTTAGCCACTCGGAACACCATGAGTGCGTTCTTGGGACTGACCAGGTCTGTGCGGAGTGCACGGTTCAGAAAGCCCACAAATAGCTTGGTGTACATCAGCAGGTTCTCCTGGACAAAGGGCGCCCTGGGGACCGAGGTGGCATGTTGGGGCCAGACTTCCTGCAGGAGGCAGGGGCCCCACTGGGCCACACCCCCTCATGTCCCTGCTCTTCCCAGGCTTCCAGATTCTCCCTGGCCAAGATCTCAGGAAGGTGGCAGCTCAGGGGGACTCTGGGTGGGCAGGGAAGAGGGCAGGACAGAGGAAGGTGAGACGTAAGTCCCCTAAGGACAACGGATTCTCAATTAAGGATGAGGCTCCTGTCCAAGAGGACCAACACCACCATGGGCCACCATGGGAGGCTGACCCAGAGCCTGACGAGGCAGAGAGAAGAAACACCAGAGGGGCGCAAAGAGGGAGATGGTCAAGGAGAGGAGTGGCCACTGGCAAAACCAGGTCCCGTGGAAGTCTGGGGGTCAGCCTGGGGGTCCGCTATGAGGAGCAAGTGGGAGATGAAAGAGAGGCAACTGCTGCTCTGTGCTAGTGAGGAAGGGTTGAGGGTGGAGGTTTGGGGGCGACCATGAGCATTCATTTGAGCCAGGAGGATACAGTACAGGGCAAGGGGCAGGACAAAGGATCCCCACTGTCTCCTAGGAAAATCAATTTCAGAGTTGACAAGGTTTGGTCAAGGAAGAGCCAGCCTGCGTGCCCACTCCATAGGACCTGGGAGAAGAGCACAGGAGGCCACCAGGGGCTCACCATTTCTCTGACACACACCGGGGCTGGGAGTCACTGCTCTGAGCCTGCTTCTCAGGTGCGTACCTCCACGGCTGCAGGTAGCTCAGCCACATCTCCAGCACCTGGTGAGGGACACGTGTGCTCTGAGGACCCAGCAGCTGGAGGCCATGGGGCTGGAGCTGTCTGGGCTTTGAGTAAAATCCTCCGGTGGCCTGGGGCCTGGCTCCCGGGAGGCAGTTGAGGTAGGAAGGGCCAACGCCTGAGCAGTGGGGCCTGCACTCTGCTGGGGGAGGGCAGGGGCGCCACAGGCTCTGGCTGTTCTCCTTGACCTCGATACAGATACCAATGAGAGATCGAGATCGGCTGTTCCCGCAACCCCCGAGAGGGTGCAGGAGGGACCTGCATATCCCCGCGACGTCTGACCCTTACACCAGACCTTCAGAAGTCGAGGTCATGAGTGCTTTTTCCCAGCTGAGAGCTGAGCACAGCTGGGTGAGGTCAGGAACCTGCCCATCGACAAACAGCTGGGTCAGGGCAGAGCTCTACTGTACCTGAGGGTTTGCTTTGGAAACTCAAACATGTGGCCACCAAGATCGCCTCTTTAAGGCCTCTGCAGTGACAGTCACTTCCCTCCCTCTTCTGGCCCATGGGACCTCCTTCACCAGGCACACAGAGGGCAAAGGTATGACATGACGACACTCACAGCTCTGAATGACGCGTCAAGGGGCCAGTGGCCAAAGCAGTGCTGCAGGAAGAGGTAGAGCTTCTGCTGGACAAACCTCGGGACGGCAGCCCTGCGGGGGAGGGGAGGGTCACCTGCTGCTGCTCACCCAACAGCTCCTATTTGTGAGGCTCGGCTCTGCCAGTAGGGAGCACTGGGCACCCCCTGGAGGTAAGACCTGTTTTAATCCCTTTCTACAAACCAAGGTTCAGAGAGGTTAGGAAACATCCCAAGACACACGGCATGCAAGTGGCTGAGCCAGTGTGGCTCCTGCATGCACCTCACCTCAGCCCCACACAAGTCACCTGCTCTGTTGGCCCCAGTCGGCCTGGGACAGAGGAGGAGGAGGAAGGGGAGGGCATGGCTTCAGTGCAGAGCTCCCTCTACCACTGGGAAAGAGGGGATGAGAGGGAGCAGCAAGACCCTCCACTGGAGAGGGCAGGTCTGGAGGGACAGGCTTTGGGAGCTGGAGACGCAGCTGGCAGCAGGGGTAGGGTGAGGTGAGGAGACAGGCCCAGGAGTGTGGGAGAGTTCCCGACACCCAGCCCTGCAGAGGCCTCACATGCTCTCTGAGCAGGAAGGGGCCACCCCTCACCCACGGGAAAGATCATAGTGTACAGGAGGAGGGGGGAGGAGAGGCCACAGGAGCCCTGCCCCACAAGCACCGTTTGAACTCCTCCAGGGGGCTGGTGGCATGGGAGTGGGCAGAGGGGGAGGCCTGCTCGGGCTTCAGGCTGTTGGCGAAGGCATGCAGATGCTTCAGCAGCAGGCGCACCACAAGCACGTGCTCCTCGGTAGGTGTGAACGCCTCCTAAGGGGAGTAGGAGGAGGAAGGCATCAGGGCCCAGGAAGCCCCCAGCTCTGACCACGTCTCACCCCTGGGCCAGCCCGGGAGTGGGGCCACCTCTGGGCCTGGCACGCAGTGGACATGTTCAGTCTGAACTGAGATGAGCTCACAGCAGTGAAGTGCTGAACCCAGTACCCTCACTCTGATCTCAAGAAGGCTTGCTAAGCACACAAACGTGCCAAGTGCTTCCCAGCAGGCCTCAAACCCCGCTTCTGCAAAGCATGGCCACACATCCTCAGTGGGTGGCACAGGTCATGGCCCACCAGGCACTGCGGCCTGTGCTGATTTTCAGGGGTGTCCACCTTCTGGCCAGCCAGAGGACGAGTAGCAGGGAGCAGGGATCAGGGCCAGCCAGCGTCCCACCCAAGCTCTGGATGCAGGGTCTTCTGCCTATATTCCGGGCATGTGCAGAAAGCTTGCTGGGGCCCACAGCTTCTCCTTCCTCCCCAATTCCTCCTCTGGCCACAACCCCAACCCCTTCCACCTCCTCCCCCTCCTGGACAAGGCCAGATGGGGGCTCAGCCTGGGGGGAGCCCGCATGTCATTTCCTCTTTGACAATGGACATGTGGTCAGCTACAATCTCCAAGGCAAGAGCACCATTGAGTTCGTGAGCCAAACATCTCATTCACAATGTAAATGCAGGATCTTTGAGACCAAGATCCAAGAGGAAAGCCTTTTTTGCCGGCTGTGGGGTTCTTCTGGTTGTTCAGTGCTTGAGTAGACTGCGGGAGGGCATCTGAAGGCAGGACCCTGAGTCTACGCAGCCGCACTCCCCTCCCTACACTTGCCCCCAACCTTGGGCCTCGATAAACTTGCAATGCTGAGGCTGGTACAGGGCCTGGCCTCCTCACATGCCCCAGACGCAGCAGACCACGAACAGGCTTCTGCCCATGTCACCGTCCACTCAGGACTCCCTGTCATGAAAATGCCTCCACAGGTCCGGTGACACATCCTGCAGGTCAGTGGCTAAGTCTAAGGATGGCACTACAGGGTGGGAGGTCAATTTCTTCTGTCTATCTCTGTTTTAAGCCTTTCGGCAATGACTTTGCATCATTCTGAAGTAAGGAAGAAAGCAGGACGCACAACAGTGATACTAACACTGAAAGCCTGGAAGGGCATCAGAGCCAGGCCACACCTCCCTTCCAGGAGCCTTCCCTTCCCCTTTTCCATGGTCTCATTCCTTGCCCCTTGCTCTGACCCCAGCCTGGGATCCTGAGCTGTGACACTGTCCTTTCAGTTCTGGGGAGATGGCCCCCACCCAGGAACTACACGTGCCCCAGCTGCCCCATCCTTCCACGGTCTCTGGAGAGCCAGGCTCCAGCTTTCCCCTGCCCCCAGCAATCACAAGGGCCCCTCTCAGGCTATTTTCCCACTAGGTTTTCCCAGCCAGATTTCCTCCCTCCCAGCTCCCCACCCCTCCTGGGCCAAATTACAATGTGAGGTCTCCAGTCATGGTCACACTCGGCCTCCTCCGCCTGATTACTTTTCAAGGACACTTCCCCCAAGCCTGCAGCGTTTCCCCCAGGGCCCAGCTTCCAGGCTCAGCTGGCCCCTCGTTGCCTCTCCTGCTGGGGGGTGAATGGAGCCAGAGGCTCTCCCCGGGACCCCACTCTGTGCTTGGGCCTTCTGGGCCTTCCTCTCTTTCTCTGCAGCTGCTGCTCCTGAACAGGAAGCCCACTGTGTGCTGCGGTCATCACCCCATCCCACTGACACTCGGTGTCCAAACCATGTTTTCTCATCTTGTGCTCAAGTTCAAGTTCAGTTGTGTACTCCTTCCCTGGGTGAGCTGGAAAGACCCCTGATCACAAGCACGGCTCCACGTTTCCACTGTTTCTTACAAATGAGCAAACTCTGTCATCCCTGAATACCCTACAGCTCTAAACTCCACTTCACTAGCCTCAAATCCATCCACACACTTGTCATTTCTGCCTAAGCAGACCACAGTCTCCATGAGATTATCACCTGCTCCCATCTGCCTCTGGGAGTCTACGAGTGGCTGGGGCTCAACAAGAGAAGGCCCATCCCCGGCTGGACTTGCAAGGACTGCCAGCCTCTGGGCTGTGCGACTGAGCCCAAAGCTCTTCCTACCTCTTTGCCTCACACCAGCCTTGGGGGCAGCTGCAGCCTCCAGCCTGAGTGAAGGCTCTGAACCAGCACCACCCTTAAGTTCTTGGGCCTCTGCATCCTTAGCCACTTCTGGAGAACCAGGACCCACATAGGGGGTGAGTCAGGCCACTGCATAGGCCTGACTATTTCAGCTGCCTCAAACCAGGGCCAAGCACAGAGCCCTCCAACACTTGAGAACTTGTGACACCACAACTGACTAGGTGCTTAGCCAGGCAGGTCCTGTGACTCCATGGCCAGTCAGGGCCATGTGCCTCACTCACTCCATCACATGGCCACACACCCCAAAACCAGGCTAGCCTACAAAGCTGGGCCCACAACTGACTAGGTGCTTAGCCAGGCAGGTCCTGTGACTCCATGGCCAGTCAGGGCCATCTGCCTCACTCACTCCATCACATGGCCACACACCCCAAAACCAGGCTAGCCTACAAAGCTGGGAGCCAGGCCAGGCTGAAGGCTGACCCTTGCCTCCTCCCCACCCAACACACAGGCTTTGCTCTGCTTAAAATGGGCCCAAGTCACTCATAGCCAGCCAGGCCAGACCCTCGCCCTGCCGCTGCACTGACATGCACTCTGTGCTCACACCATGGGGGAGGATGAGGAACAAAACAGGAGCAGTCAGTACTTGGTAGGCGTGGAGGGCCTGGAGGCTGGGTTGGGCAGGGCTGTGGAGGGCGCTGGAGACACTGAGCCGGTAGTGCAGAACCTCCAGCTGAGACAACGAAACAGAGAGAAGCCAAGAGAAGAGGCAGGGAGGGTGGAGGATGAGGATGGGGAGAGATGGAGACAGAACAGGGAAATGGGGAGGTGGGGAGAGAAAGAAAACAGTGAGAACGAGCCCAGAGGTAAGGAGAAAAAACAAAAAAACAAAAACAAAAGCATGGTCAGTGACAATCCAAACAACTGCAGCCCCAGCCGTCTCAGGCCAGTGAAACACCACCCCTCTCAGCAGCCCCGAACGGACCCTCTTGGTGCAGACAAACCCACAGCCAGGCCCATGGTGGGAACTCTCCTTAGCCTTGTAGGCCAAGGGACAGACAGACACTCAAGATCACCTGGGAGGTTCCTCGATGTCACTGGGGCCTAAAGGCCTCTCCAGCTCCATGGGGTCAGCCCAATTCACTGTCCTACAAAGGGACTGCTCTCCCCAACCCTGAGACCACGCTGGGTGTGGCAGGCAGCCTGCCAGGAACCCACGGGCTTGCTTGGGACAGCTGCTGGCCACCAAGGCCCTGAAGGCCTTGAGGCTCAGAGAGGAAACTTTTGAGAAGCCAATTCCAGAAAGACTCTGACCAGCAAAACATATACATATAATTAATTGAATTTCCCTAGGCTGTTTTGAGTTTACCAAATCAGTATATGATATGATCAATTCCTATGTGTCTGAAACCCAATCAATGTCCCCTCCGTGAATGGTTCTCTCTGAGAATTGAAAGGATGGGAACAGGTTCCCAAGAGCAGCACAAAGATGAGCACATAGGGGCTGGCTGGTTAGCTTACTTGGTTAGAGTGTGGTGCTGGTAACACCAAGGTCAAGGGTTCAGATCCCCTTATCAGCCGCCCCCAAAAAAATTTAAAAAAGAAAATAGACAAGCACAAACTCAGCCACCAGGCCCCAACCTCTTCCTTCCACACCCCACATTCTGGAAATTGTTAAAGGTGGTGTACTCATCAGTTCTAACTCTGGGAAGACAGTTTCTACCTCACCAGGACCCCCACCTTGCAGGCACACAGAGTTCCTAAGGGCAGGAACCCCCAAGAATCTGGACCACCACACACACCCAGAGGCAGCAGGAACCCTGAGGCTGGGATGGTCAAGGACACTGGGATGACAGACGAGCTGACATGCTGTCTGGCCCCTCCCAGGAGTCTCCCCCTACCTCCCTGCAGCGTCGAGGCCTGCCAAAGCACCCCGCAGCCCAGCGCCGCATGCCCACCGGGCCTCACACAAGAGAGGACAGAACGTGCACAGCAGGTGCTGAGAAGACACGCAGAGCAGGGCAGGAATAAGCAGAGGCGTCGGCCCTTACAGCCCTCTGTCCTCAGGCCAGACCGGGGCTCAGCTGCAGCTCTTGGGAAGGAATCTGGGAGCAAACAGTTCCCCAGTGGGTCCCCTGCCTGGGCCTGTGGGAACACAGGGCAGTTCCATGGCAGCCGCCAGGGAGCAGGCATGTGCCCTGGACCCATCCTGGCCATGGAGCATGATCCCAGGAGCTGTACCCCCTGCCTCCAGAAATCAGGGCTAGGTGGGGCCTGGCAAGAACTTCTGTACGGCAGGTGCAGTGCACACCAGAATAAACAGTAAGGGGCCTTGAATGATGTGCACCTCGGCAGGTGTCTTTCCCCAGCTCCCACCCACCCACTTTTCTCAGGTTCTGTTTTCTGCCTCAATAGGGAGAGAACAGAAAACAAAACAATCCCTATTGAGGCAAAAAACAAAACAATCTCTCAAACAAATGATGCTGGGACAACTGGATATCCACATGCAGAAGAACAGAGTTGGACCCTTACCCTACCCATATGAAAAGTTAACTCAAAAAGGATCAGTGACCTAAATGTAAGAGCTAAAACCATAAACTCTTAGAAGAAAACATGGGAGGAAAGACTACATGACATTGGATTTGGCAATGATTTCTTGGATACGACACCAATATACTAATATTAAACAAAAGAAAAAACAGACAACTGGACTTCATCAAATCAAAGCTTTTGTGAGGGGCCGGCCCGGTGGCGCATTGCTATAGTGCGCCGCTTGGGAAGCGCGGTGGTTAATATACCAATATTAAATAAAAGAAAAAATAGAAACAGAGGGCAAAGCCTCTCTGGGTGCCTGGGTCCCCTCACTGCCAGTCATACTGAGCAGGTCTCACTCACCCTAAGGTCTGGCCATGAGGAAGGAGAGGCACGTCCTGCCCTGGTAGGCCCAGCCTACTGCCCATGAGGACATAGAATCCTCATAGATGACAGTCCAGAAGGGCCTTTCTGGAAAGCAGCTGTGTTCCACTCACTTGGAGACAGAATGGGCAGACAGGAAGACAACACAGAGAAGCGGCCTCTGCCTTGCCAGGCCAAGCCACATGCACAGGCGTGGAGCAAGGCATTCAGGGCCCCAGAGGAGAAGCGGGGCCCTGGGAACGAGGCATGGGGAAGCCAGGCCCCCATACACGCCAGCCAGGAACACACAGCAAGTCTGCTCGAGAAGCAGGAAGGGCACTCTGGACTATTTGTGACTCAAGGCCTAGGATGGAGTCTTAGAGCGCCCTGTGCTTTGAGAGAGCAGCAGGGGCTGCACCCCAAGCCTCCTCATGCAGAGCACAGTGCCGCAGAACTGGCGCAAACTTGGCAGCAGGAGCAGCACCACAGCTTCTCCCCAGAGTGAGATGAAGAGGCACGGGACACCCTCCTCAATTTTAACTCCATCACCCACAGAGCCGTCAAGAACTCTGTCCAGCAGTGACAAAATCAAAGTCTACCAGGCAAACTGATGCACAGAAGCTGCGAGCAGCAGACCGTGTAGCTGACACTGCCCTTGACAAGGGACTAGGAGTGTGTGATTCAAGCTTTTTCACTGAGTGTGAATCCAACTGCCCACCCTGCTCCTCACTAACTGAACTGTTTTACACTGACAAACTCAGAGGGGTGCTGGCCCCAGGAACAGTGACACCTGGAGGGTCCCAAGGACTCTGTCACCTCCACACCTCTGCAAACAAGTGTGCTGCCTTGGGGCGGGGAAGAGGGAGGTGAAGAGGAGGAAGAGGAGGGGAAAGCAGGCCAGGCTGCATGCAGGAGGGCACAGGCCCCACCCACCACAAAGCAGCTGCTTGCTGATGCTCTGGAGGAGGTGGGAGGGCAGTGTGGGCAGGCACAGGAGGCTCAAGGTCACCACAGTGGGCGGAGGTCTGCCCAGGGCCACCTCACTGGAAAGCACAAAGGCACTACTGATGGTAGAGGGGACAGACTGGGATATGACCCTCCGAGGCATCCACTGCTCCTCTACCCCGAGAGCAAGAGCATCACAACCTCATCTGTTCCTGCTGCCAGGCAGACGGCTCTGGAAGCAGCACAGGGAGGACCCCAGAAAGGACAGACCTTCAGGCCTCAAGTGCCCACCCATCGGGGTGCAAGTCCCCCACAGAACTGGAGAATAATACCCACATTTTGTTTGATATCTGAGCAAAGGGTGGAGGGTGGGTTTCTGCTTCCCACCATCCAGCCCATGAAAACTAACTCAGGTGGAGGAAATTCAGGTTGACCAGGGCCAGAGGTAGGAGACAGAAAGAAAAACTACAAAAACATACCTTGGCATGAGGTGATTGCATTTTTTGGTACATCTCCAAGGAATAATGATGAAGCCACATTTCAACAAAAACCTGCAAAAGAGCATTAGCTGGTTAAAACACTCTCGACAACAGTGTCAAGACCATTCAATGGGGAAAGGACTGTTTCTCAAATGATACTGGGACAACTGGATATCCACATGCAGAAGAATAAATTTGGACCCTTACCCTACCCATATGAAAAGTTAACTCAAAAAGGATCAGTGACCTGGGCCGGCCTGGTGGCGCACTGCTACAGTGCGCTGCTTGGGAGCGCGGCAGCGCTCCCGC